AGGCTTCCTTCAAAGCACCGTAATCTTTCCACTCCCCGCCATGTGTTTCATCAATGACATCAGGAGTGAATAATAATAGATATCATTGAATATATATATTATGAATAATCTATTATTATTCACTCCTGATGACATATACTCATCATACATCCATAATAGCGCTTCCATTCTGGTTTCGGCGATTAAACACTCGTTTTGAGTCACAGGTAGACACACAAAAAAGTTGCTAAAAGATAATCAGACCCCGCAGTAGTGGGAGGACACGTCGCTAATAATATTCCATTCAATCAGGTATGAGGTGATGACGATCCCCGCTGGGCAGAGAAGTGTGGGCGTCAAGAACATGTAGGGAGCCTACAATGTGTCTACATTTCTGCCCAATGTCCCGGTCCTTGCACATTAAAAAAGTCAACAAGCAATGACGAACACATTTTCATTTGGCAATAGCATGATAACGCCTCATGTGGCCAACGCCACTAGAAACCCCATCGTCAAATGGACTTTCTCACGTATCAACATTATTAGACTTCGCGCCACACCTGCTGTCAGTGAGATATGATACCGTATCTTCGTTCATAACATCTAGCCACAACAAATCTGCTCAGTCAGAATTGTCAGAAATTGTCTCAAACGAATATATTGAACGGTTAGGTAATTTGCCAACCACTTCCATAAGAAGGTGTATATCGGTATCGAGTATTGCCTTTATTATGGAGTGAACATAACGTCGCCACGGCTAAAGGTGAGTAGCATGACCTTGAGATTTATACTTCGCCTACAAGATCGTATACAACCTCGTCCGCACAACATCAACACGGACTACCTCGTTGCAGTTTCTGCAGTAACTACGTACCCAACGCTTCTAGAACCAGACTCGCGCAATGGATAGCCGACTGCGAGCGCCTGAGGTTTGGTGCGAATGTCGGTAGATATTTGTCTCGTCTCTCTTACATGGGCTCCTTATAGGTCACACTAGTACATCTAGCACAACTTAGTAGTAAGGCTCGTAGGGTCTATGTCCCCCTGACCTCTGTTTGACCTGGTTCGTTTAGCTGTTTCTGACTAACCCTAACCCTAACCCTAACCCTATATATATTATATATTATATATATATATATATATATATATATCAGAAATAGCTAAACGAGCCAGGTCAAACAGAGGTCAGAGGGTCATAGACCTTATCTGCAGTAGTAAGCGAGGCTCAAATAGCCGCTGCTCTATACGTTTAACACTGCGCTTTTTCTGCCGTTGCAGCTGTTACGGCTACTGCTGGTGTTTATTCCGCCGCTACAGCTACGTGCGCTATATTTTTGTTCACCGTTTTTCTGCTACACCTATCTCAACTGATACTGCAAATCTAGTACTACTGCTACCGCTACGGGTAATGCTACGGCTACGGCTACTGCTTCTGCGACTGCTACTGCTACTGCTGTTGGTGCTACGGCTACTGCTACTGCCACGGCTACCGCTACTGCCACGGCTGACGCTACTGCTACTACTACTGCTACTGCTATTGCTACTGCTGTTGTCACTTTTGACGTTGCTGCTGTTGCTACTGCTACTGCTACCGCTACTGCTTATTATTCTTATTATACTATTACTGTGCAGATTGTAGACTCGCAGGCTTTATCCAGATAATATTACAACACTCACTTCATAGTATATGAGAACACCTGGTGGGAACGCGTTTAACCCGGATTTGTACGTTATTAGATACTTGGTGACTTACCTATTCCAGACGAAGAGAAAGACGTTAGTCAAGTAAAAATCTTACCATAATATTAAGACGTGATAATAGAAGTGATATAACACAGGTATACACGAATACATGCCAGGTTGTCGCCATCAGTGGCATGGTTGAGCGTACATATAAATATGATATTGCGCGTTTACTTCAGCCCTCGTCCTTGCCCATGAAACCTACGCTTATATAGCCTACTTTATGACGGCACTTAACTTGACGATCACAATCATCATAAAAGATTTTCAGGGTGCATAAGAACTATGCACGGTGCTTTCAGTGGAGCACGATGGCGACAGTCAATTGTTTTCACGCCACAACACCTGACTAACGTTTTACTTGCGACTATTCCGCGTATATAGCATCACGCGGCGAATAAAATTTGGAAAAGAAAGATTGCACTTGTAGTCAAATTTTCCGGTGGTTGCTTTATGGCCGTATGAAAGAACCGCCGCGCTCGGAACCGGGTGTCGCCTGCAGGCAAAATAAAGCACTTCTCATTGACGCTTTTTCAACTTTGTTCTTTCATTTTATGGTTGATGAGCGCGAGTGAGTGCCGCCACAATGCTGTCACAGCCCCCTTCCATTACACAAGTCCAAACACATTCAGTAGTCAGATCCATAGACAGTGGTGCCGACGAATTTCTGTACACACACGCACACACCCATGCGCGCACGCACGCACGTATCTTCAGAGTCAATATGCGAAACCCAGACCTCGCCATCTATCGTGATTCTTGTTCATAATGGTAGTCAATTAACCATTTTCTTTCGCGTCTCAAATCTGAGGAATAGCAATCATTACTGTTCTTCAGCTGTGCACTATAGTCTATTATTGTGCACTTTGTAACAGCAGCCATAATTACCTTCTAATGGAATATATGTATATATATATATAAGCGACACATTACTTTCACCAAAGTTGCAAACTGAATAGCTCTCATGCATAGCTATTCCCGCTTTTCATCCAATTGTTATGCTAGAATACCTTTGTAGCGTTGCCCACTTTAATCGCGTGTAATTCGTTAATAAACGTAAAATTCGTTTGTAAAATTGTAGCACGTTTCACGAAAATCACCTTCTTGACAAGATGCCATAATTCTCTAAAATCCGATATCGCCAGTCGAAACAGTTAAAATTCAGTTAACGATAGATTGCTGGTGGTTCCGAATAAAATGGTCGTTTAATACTTGATTAAATAACATGCACTTTCGTGGAATAATGTATTAAGTGCTTTATACGTGGAGGGGACATATATCCGGGAGCGTTATATTGCAGGCCGAACGCACCCACCCGCGATACAGAAACTGGTTAGGCTAGGGTTGTCACTCCGTGTGACAATGCCAACAACTGTGCCACATTAAAAGTGGAAATTTTCTGGCTTGGGCAAGCTAATCAAGCACACTGAGTGCGTTGACAGCCTGGCATGACGAACGATGGAATCCTGTGACAAATGTGCAAATAATCATTTGGTGGGATACTATAGCTGCGTCTGGTTGGTATATATTCATAGGTTCAAAATGGTTTTCTGCTAGATAGCATATATTGTATTCTCCTATTTGTTCATATGGGGAGAATTATTCTATTTTTGTACAGATCAATTACTTATATGCTATACGACATTGGCTCATGCTGAGTGGTCTCGGCAGTACGCATTTCATCCAACGCGTAGTCTCCGTAAATAACATCTCTTAATTCAGGATGTACTTTCCGCTAAGCAAGAGAAGACGAGAAACCGGGCAAGCTAATCAAGAAAGGAAAGCGGTGGGACTTATCAAATTAACGAAAGAGTAGAGAAAAAAAGAACAGAGTGAGTGAGTTAGAGAGCGGGATAAAATTGGATAGAGACAAGGGAATTAAGTGCGAGCGAGGGCGGAAGGGAGGAAAGGAAAGAGGGAGGGAAGGAGGTGAAAAAGGAGAGAAGGAATAGCGGGTTGGCGGGAGGCAGGGCATGAGGATCAGGAGGGAGTGATGAAGGGAGGAAATGAGAGAATGTGTGAGAGAGAGAAAAAAAAAGTGTATATGTGCGTGCATGCATGCGTGAACATCTGTGAGGTTTTCATCGCAGATCCAACAATTATGTGAACTTTAATGTGTAACACTCCAATGATCTGCACTCAGATGGAAGATATGAGCAACAAAAACCACCTCGCGAGTGAAGGCACCGGGGCGATATTTTACCAGAGTACCCCCCCCCGTCTTTTCACTTCATTTCACTCGTTATATAAAATGGCCCAGAGACCTTTTTGAAATCCCCCTACATACAACATTAAATGATAATGCTAACCAGGCCTCTGGCATTTGTCATAAACCTGTTGAATATCGTTATAATTGCGTATGTAGGCACGAATGATAAATCATATAGAGAACACATGTAGAAAGCTGGTTCATTATATAACCCAGTATAAGACCCACTCGGTGTGTAACCCCCACCAATAGGTGTGTAACGTCCAAAATAAACTGCGAACCAGTAAACAATGGCTATACTAAAAAAATCGCGCAGAAGGTTCAAACAATAAAAAACACAATGTATAAGTCATAGCAGGAGTGAATAATGATAGTTTTATTATTATTCACTCCTGTCATAGTAAAGCTTGTGAATAGATGCACTTTACTAGCCGATAATATCTTAGAAATGCTAATGAATAACTGAATTTAAAAATCGAATGTTCTAGCAACGGAAAAACGCATTACGTAATAAGCTGGCAAGCATTAATATGTGCCTATATTGTTCATGCACTATTAATAAAATAAAATATACATCACTACAGAACTAATATAATTGCAACCTAATATATTTCATGAAGATAACTCGACTTGGGATGACTTTTATGTTGATTTTGCGGTTGCGAACAGCGGGGTATATGTATACGCAGTCGGTGCGAGTCAGTCGAGAAGATAATTAAAATTTTGCCTGCATATTTAACAGATGGATTAGAGTTGAAGCACTTCATGGATTTTAACTTGTGATGACCACACATGTTTAAGCATGTGAAGTATTTTCTCATATCTTCCCCGCGTGAAAATCATAGAATTAACGTGTGTCGCCAAACACGCGCTCACAATGGTGATGCAAAGTGGTGCCCTCAAATTACTTTTCCTCTCGCTTGTGGTACGTGAGGTTATATTTAAAACTCGAGGTATCATTTTAACTTACGGACAAGCATTGAGTTCTACAAAATATGTTTCTATACGTTTCCCTCCACCATACGCAACCGTTCCAACCTTCGGCGTCATGGGAAAATATCGATCGTACCTTTAGGCGAAAGATGAGCTCCTATTGCGACTCCCTGACAGCCCAGATTGTCACCTTCGCTTGAGCTACGTGTGCGTGTCTTTTGACATTAATCCTCCGGGTGAAAACCAAGGCGTGCATCAGCGACAAGTGACGAACGATCGTTGTGGACCGAAGCACTGCAGTATGACTGAAACCTCCTGCGTCGGCACTATAACTGGCAGGGCACGCCAACGCAAGCCACGCAGACCAGCGCAAATGGCCAATTCGCGCGTTTCGCGGGTGCCAGGTGCATCTAAGGGAAATTCAGCCGCAAATGGTGTAGCCGAACTTGGCGCGGTTGGCCAGGAGAACTGCAGTGAAATGCGAGCGTAGGTAATCGACCATGTGCAGGTTAAAACTTGTGCGGTTCGCAGAAGTTGAACGCACACGCGCGCGGTTTGGCAAAAGCTTGCCACGGCAAAGATCCACATGCACGGCACGCAAACAGGCAGAAGCACTCCACACAATAATCACGCTGCAACTTTTACTTTTTCCATCTGCATTCAGTGGAAAGCCGACGTGTCAAAAATTCCCGTCGTGTCCAGCTTGGCACCCGCCTACGATCACGTCGACAGATAAGGACGGTGCAGTTGCTAAATTTTCCTCCGTGTCGGCTCCGCGAAGTCACAGACGGCCACAGACTACTGTTGCCATTCGCCACTTGAATGTCCAACACCAGGGCGCAGACCCGTTGTCTCGATCGGGCCCGCAAAGCGGAAAGAGCACGCGTCAGTCTATCACACGGAGGACAGAAGAGAGGCTACCGCCGCTATCGGGGTGTGTACGAAGCAATGAACATAAAACGTGTGGGAGAACGACAATAAAGCCGCGCATACCTGGCCGGCAACGGCGGCAGACGGGCCAGCAGCGCGGGTGTCCAACCAACCATGTAATATGACACACGGCGAGGGGCAATCCGCACTCGACATGAAAGACGACCGAGAAGAGGACACACTCGCTCGCTCGCAAAGCCAATGGCAACACGTTATTTGAAAGAACCGTGATTGTGGTGGTTGCTTACGAGGCGTTGAACGTAAGCAACATACGACGCAGACTCACGACGCAGATACACGACGCAGACGCGACACGACGCAGATACACGACAATAGACGACGCAGGTTCACGTGCCGGGAAACACCCGGCCTCGGTGTAGCTGCACGACTTAACAGAAACCCCGAACGAGATTTTAGATTACGGGGAGATATATACAGCCGTGAATCAACAACCTTCACAAACACTACATCCTGTAGCCTCTAGATAAAACTGTGGAGCCTGTCCGGACAGCTAGTGAGCGTATGATAATCAGCTACCGGTCGTGTAGCAATGCAGGATATGCTACACAACTTTTCAATACGAATATTTTTGCTCGGTTGCTCGTATAGCTTCTAGCAATAGTTCAGTGAAATACCAACGGCTTCCACCTATTGGTCACTCACCCCTTTGTTCACAATAAACGCATTGTTCTCTGAATTTCTATTCCGTAAAAATGCCCATGCTAATAATAAACAGCGTATACCACACTGATCACACTGATTGATATTCATTCTCACATTTAAAGATCGTTATCATTTCTCTGTAAATTAGCACAATTACGTGTCGGAGTTCAACCGGATGAACCACGGTATACACAACTAAAGCAATGATAATTTTTGCGATAAAAGTTCCTCTGTTTCTCGAAAAGCAGCATATGAATAGCAGCGCGGGCTGCGGGCGTCTCTCCACATCGCAGCTCAAAACTAGCATGCGTCACATTTAATAAGCCGTAACACAGTTAGGGTGTGCCCCTAAAAACGAAAAGCAAATGGTCACACTCACAACGAGCTTTTTATTCTAACGTTATTGCGTGACTGTATGTGAAACAACAACAGTCACATTGCTCCTAATCGCATCAAACCTCAGCATAAGTCAAAGTAAAACCGCTTCCGTGTATTCCCTCTATGGTTACGTGTGGATAGTTTCACTGGTAATTTCTCCCGGCAAGTAAAACTAGAAAATACTTGTTGTGGATGAACGCACGCTATATATTACGCTTGAAGTAGACACGGCAGGCTATAGTTAGCTAGCTAGCTAAGTCAGTTGATACTTGTTATTGATTAGGTCAGCAGCAGAAAGGCTCCAACGCTAATGCATTTACAGCAGCCACTGAATATTTACAATGCCAATGTGTCTCGCATTACATCACGCTTCAACACTAACCCATGACCGTCATCCATGATTTCAGTACGGTACTGAAATCCTCTGCCGAATCCACTGAAATGGCCAATTGTCTGCTAGGTAGTGAGGGCTTATATATTATTATAGTAGGCGTATACACGGCCCTACTATACGTTAAGTGTCGTTCACGTGGCAGCTGTTACCCCTTTACCGATTCAACAGTTAACATGATGTTTGCGCCAGAAATGCCCTCGTTTCATTTTTTTATTCATAGCTGTACCGGTAAAAACGTGTCTACGGGTAGAATTTAGTAGGTATGAGATCTTGGTTCATTGTTCATGAATTCCATTGTGCTACGCGATGCCGACTGAAAACTAGGCGGGTCGATCAGACTGATAATCAAACGGAAAGACGCATATGGCAAGCTGATTCAAAGCTTCAATAGCCAAAATCTACAACAACTGTCAAAATTCCTCATGTTCAAGTTGTGGATTCACAGGATTTCAGTACAATGAACCACTACTAAATCATTCCCGAGGTATGCTTGCGGGCGCCTTCATTTCAGGATTCAAACAAATGGAAAACCCAACCTGGTCGCCACCAGGCCAGCGGGAGTCTGATCAATGTCTGCGATAGCTCGCTCACGAACACTGCGGAGCACCAGCGTGAGGTGCCAGCAAGACTTTCAGGCAGTCTACCTGCGCAACTATCGTTATTAAACTTCCCACACCCCTTTCGAGCTGGGCGCGCACCTGATTTTCACCGTTGACCTAATTCGGTACTTCAAGCATCTCCTTACTACCTTCATGTTATTAGGAGTGAATAATAATAGATTCCTAAAATCCTGATTACCTAGGTCAGCTGAGAGGGTGAAGCCAATACATTAAAACAAAAGCTCGGGTAAATAAATGCTGGGTTATCTATCCAGTACAGTCAGCTGGTCACAGTAGAACCATCTATGTGGATCTCTTCGTACGTAGAGAGAGGGGAGAGAGGGGGAGAGAGAGAGAGGGGGGAGTAACGGTCGTAATTAATGTGATAGGCGGACTCAGAGACATGGATTAATGATGCAATTACTCGTTCGCAATTCGTTCAATCATTAGATGTGCTTCTTAGTAATTCATCGCCATGTTGCCTCCTTTCTTGAGAGAGAGAGAGAGAGAGAGAGAGAGAGAGAGAGAGAGAGAGAGAGAGAGCGCGCGAGAGAGAGAGAGAGCGAGAGAGAGAGAGAGAGTGGAAATTTTACGATAGTTCAGGAGACGCAGCATTGGCCTCTCGGTGTAATTTAATTGTTTGCATTGATATGATGACGATCTTAATATTCTTTTTTATTTTTGGTTTAGATGTTAGGGTTGTCTATCATGTAGACTATTGCGCTCATCAGATCTTGTTCGTACAAGAACTGTATTCTTTACATAATATATTTGACAACATAAAACGTAAACGCGCATTTAGATTTTGCGCAAGAATGAAGTATACTATAATATACTATACTGAAATACGCTGACCAATAATTCCGCATTGATATATACTATAATTATGAATCGTCGATTTGCCTCCGGTCTAGTATAAAATAAATGGGGCTTCCGTCATTTACTCACTAACACTGTTACCACGAAATCGCATTGGATAGTTAACTGACAGCGTGAATCCACGATGGAAAGTCGCTGTGACAGTATAGGCAGCTGTTATTAGTTTAGCAGCTCAGTCGCTGTAGTGCAACACATACGAGTGGAATGCAATTGGCAACATGCTCTGCTTACATCTATGACAAATACGACATACGCATATACGCTATCCTATGACACTATTTGTCATAGGAAGAATCTTCCTATGACAAATATTGGCGAGTCAACTTCGTTATATGCGTATGTCGAATTTGTCATAGATGCTAGCAGAACAGGCTGCAATTGCTTGCTTTGCAGTGGAACGGCTGCTATAGTGCCTTCTACGTAGCATATAAAAGAACTACATTCGTTATACGTTATAAACTATGTACCGCATCTTTTTCACATATTTAAGGGGTAACTTGCAGACCTCGAGATGGGTTTATCTCGCACTACTTTTTAATCCAATAATTTTCCTTAATTACAAGGTCAAAGGTCACCTTTACAGTTTTTGGCCAATCAATACTCATAAAATTAATTAATAAAAAAATTTACAGTGAGAGAATTGAGCTGTCTTGGCGGAGGTCTGCGCTCTTCGAGTGCTCTAGTTGTTATTGTTATTGTTATTGTTATTGTTATTGTTATCGTTATTGTTATTGTTAATGTTATTACCTCCGCTAAGGGGTTGGCAGGAGGTTATGTTTTCACCGGCGTGTGTTTGTTAGGCGTGTTTGTTGGTTTGTGGGTTTGTTTGTGTACAGCCTAACTGAAAGTTATGGACGGTTGTTATGGACGGATTGTCATAAAATT